CTTTTTTTAATTTCTACAGACCGCGGGGAAGCTATTTTGGAATAATAGAAAAAAGCTGAAAAATATTTTTTGTTTCGCAGGTTTTTATTTTTAGCCACCCGACTTTTCGTTCCAGAATGATTACAAACACATTATTCGAAAGCTCTACGTCTGTAGAATTTATTTCTATACGTGTATTTCAAAAACTGAAAACAAGGACGTGATTTTAAACGAGTTTTAGTGTTATTAGTTAAAATAACTATTTTCAACGAAAAAAAAACAAGACACGTGACAAAAGTTGAGAATTCAATCGAAAATTTCTCAAATTTTTTTTTCAGATCTGATCATGTCTGATGCAGTTCAGGACAGATATGCAATCTCACAACAAATGGATTCACCCTGGGCATATCTGTATTTTATTTTTTTCAGTAACATTAAAATTTTTGTATCTTCCAGGTCTGAACATGTCTGATACAGTTCAGGACAGATATGCAATCTCACAACAAATGGATTAACCCTGGGCATATCTGTATTTTTATTTTTTTCAGTAACATTAAAATTTTTGTATCTTCCAGGTCTGAACATGTCTGATACAGTTCAGGACAGATATGCAATCTCACAACAAATGGATTAACCCTGGGCATATCTGTATTTTTATTTTATTTCTGTACGGGTGATCATTTAACGTCCGAAAATAGAAAAAAAATATTTCAGCTCCAACAAAGTTATTCCTGTCAACTAACCTAATACTGGATGCATACCAAGTCGGACGAAAAATCTTTCCTGTCACATGACATTTAAGTTTTTTTGTTCATGGCAGAAAGTAACACTCAGTGGATCGCTCGTGCAGTCATACAGGTTAAAAAAACCTACGCTGCTAGCCTCCGAAAATAATCGACCCCAATTCAAAGTGATGGACGTTAGCGAATGGAAAGTGACGGTAACCTTATGCAATCTTTAAAAGTTCTCTAATCTTTGGAGTGATACTTAATTGTTCGCTTCTAACTAGCAGCGCGATAAAACTCTCTTGTCTTTCACACTGACTGATGAACTTTCCAACTAAAGTTTTCAGATGGACTTGAGCTATTGCAAGAACTTTGTTCTGTCTGCAAACGTATATGTTGTAGGTGTCTGGCATGGTTAACTCTCTTACACTTTACAAGCATTAATTTTGAGACGGGTTATCACCAAATCTGCTTCTAGCCTGATAAAATGATACTTAATTACAGCTAACTCTACTTATACATAATTAAAAGAATAAAAGGTTTAGAAAGAATTAATCTGAAAGTTAAAACCTTAAAAAGTGTCAGAGCATTCTCTCCGCCGGAGAGAATGAAAGTATCAAAGTCAAACGTAAATGACTAGTTAAATCAATTTAGCTTATGATTAAATTAAGTACGCTAAGTACATAAGTGAAATCTCATCATAGCCCTAGTTTTGGAACTGAGCAAATTTTCATTGGCGCAACTCAATTTTTCTTGATTACCAGCAAAACTTAGGTCGAAAACTTAATTCAATAATGAAGAAACGTCGATTACCACTGTGCATTTGGTTATTGAATCAATTTTGATTCACTGTTGGCCCTAAATATTACACTTTTTCAAAGCCTATTGAACAATCGGTAATTTGAAAAGAATTATAGGTAGCTTCAATTGAAAGAACATTTATTTCGTAAATTCTAAAGAAGAGAAAAACGATATTTTGCAAACCAATCAGAACAAAATGCAATATACAAAATCAACGGTTTTATGCAGCACCCATTGTTCATCCATCTATTTTATTCCTGGCCAAACAATCCGGGATATATGTCATCCTATGATTGTACCAACCAACACATTTCTGTGGAGTAATCTCACAAGTTGTTCGTTCCACAATAGATTTGACTTGACGGAAGCGGTAATCCCGAATTGTTTGTCGTGGCTCCTTCAAGGCATCAGCGTTGATGAACAAATCCATCTCTTCTTGCATTTTTAGTTTCATAGCCGCTTTGCAGCACGAAATTGCAGCTTCAACTAAAGTTAGAAATGGGCTGTACTTTGGTAGCCTCTTCAGAGGGAATATTCCACTAAGGTGCATATCTTCAATTCCTCTGTTTCCGGGAGCATTGTCAAAAATGCAAAATCCATCAGCATTGTTCCCTTTGTCAAGGATAATGTTTCCACATAGAATATCGAGAAAATTTTCCTTCTTTGTTCCGCCTTCAATTACCTGATAATGCTAAAGGCATTCCGTGGAAACTGGGCAACAGATTGTAACATTGGGTCCTTCCTGGACACCGACCTTTCTGTAAACTCTGTCACCCTCAGCAAATTGCCCTTGAGTACGCCGCATGTGGATATTTACACCAAATTCATCCACGAAATTTTTTCGCGAATTTATAACGTCAAGGCTCATGATCCACAATGCAAAGTGGTAACGATTTTCTATATTCTCTTCGCTGTTATGCTCTGCAGGACAATCTCTCGCAATTTTGAAAGTGATCATTCTCCCTTCTAATGCTCTTGATAGTGCTTGTTGGGTAAAATGGGTTTTTGGGGTAAGCGCGCTCTCAACGCAAAATTCACTTGCTGCAATGTCATCAGTGGATTGCCCTCCGGAATGTCATTAGCGCCCAAAATAATTTCTTCGTCAATTTTTCGGTTGTATGATCCACCTTTTGGTAAATTTTCATATCTCCCACGTCGCACCATTGTATACGGAGTGTTCCAATTTTTTCCCAAACAGTCGGCCAAATCTATATATTCTTCTCCACGCGAATGCGATTCGATTAAACGTCGTTTGTCGATACATGAAATTGTTTTATACTTGGCGATTTTGAGCGTGATTCAATTGTAATTTCACGATTTCAAAAGAACTTATGAACACACATTTCTGCATGCATTATTTCTTGACTTTCAATTGAAAATACGGTTTGTTCAAAATATGTCACTAACATTTCAATAGGCTTTGAAATGGTGTATAATAAGAACTTCCCAATGGTGGGGTGATCAGAGTTTTTCATCTTCTTTAGAATAAAAGGCTTTTTGTCCATATCATATTTTAATGATCACACTTTCCGATAGAGTGAAACCTTTTTTTGGTTAGGCTGCAAAAATATTTCGTTAATTTAGACTATCATAAAGGCGTTTTGTAGCAAAATCAATGCACATGTCCTGAATTAGGGTGATTGGGAAAAATGCAAGATTGTTTTTAGCCAAGAGCATAGCAGGAATGAATATTTTTTCGATCCTATTTGATACCTCGGCTTGATCTTGTTTGCAAGTTTGGTATCATCAATATAAGCTTTGAAGCCAGTAGTTTCAAAAAGTTTATTGAAATAAGTAGATTTTTTGGAATCTGATTTGTGGGACCTCGAACGGTGACACTCTGACTTTCAGATTACTTATCCTTGATGGAGTGCCCATTTTTTAAAATTTTTTAGTTGGAGTGCCCAATTTCTTTCGCATCATTTTAATGATTGCTTTTGTGTTGATGCCATTTTTTGTTGATTCTAACTCATTGCGAGTTAGAGCTAAGCGACGCACTAAATATGTTAAAATTGAAGACTAGTTTTAAGCGCTATAGAGTCAACTCTATAGAAGATGAAAGAAAAATCAATACTTAAAATTGGGAATACCGCATTTTTGACCAGCATTAAGGATACTTAGAGAGTGTTTAGAGATTTGCTTGGCTTCTACATATTTGCGAAATTGGGATTGATCTGCAACACGAAAAAAAAATTGTTTTTCAATTGATATGGAATTTAACTCGCAGCTTCAAACTTTTCCCTCGGAATCGCATTTTCAGAAAGCATGCTTGTCTGTACAGATAGCGCAAGCTGAAATTAGCATTTTTACCGACTTCAAAACTCACAGTAAATTTTTTGCCCAGATTATGCATCCAAGCAAAACGTTATTAATTGAGCTGCAACCATATTTTTGTAGGTAACACCTGTAAAAACTTTGACGAAACTGTAGTTGCCCTGCAGCACGGAAAAATAATGTGTTTCGCATTTCGAAGTTAATTTGCAGTGTTGGCATTTTCTTTAGGAAACCACGGGCTTTTTGATTATACCCTCATACCCTCTTAAATCATGAAATTGGAAGTTACATTTTTCACAAAATTTTGATAATGAATAATTAATTATTACAAGTAATGATTGATAAAAACACCCAATTAGTACTGTTAACACTTCTTGGCTTCTCTCAATATAATTTCATGAAAGGCGCGTGTCAAAATGCGTTGCGATTTGTCATGTTTTGAAGAAAATGTTTTTTTGAAGTGCTCAGGTTACCAGCGTTATCAAAAGCTTCATTTCGGCTCCTTCAAGAATAAAGCAAAATCTGTTCGCTTAAGGGGACGAGGATAACCTAAAACACGCCGGACAAAATTACTTTTTTTAAAATATATTCACTCTATTTGCTACTTCGGCTATATTTTCTGTATACTCCTGTATAATACGATTTTTAAAGTTTTGTCTCGATCTACAAAAAATCGTACACTTTTGAATAAATGATATAATTAATATAATTAACCAAAAACAATTTGAATCAAAAACTTTTTAAATTTCATAAGAAAAAAAATGAAGATCGATTGCTAATTGATGATGTTTTTGCAAACTGACGAAGTTTTGCTCTGTCCTACGTGCAAAGACTAGGCTCAAAATTAATGAAAATCACATTGCAAGAAATTAACTTGAAATTGCTTTTCAGTTGTTTTTTAATTCATCATCGGTTCTATTCTTGCAAATACCCATCTGTAATTAATGAGTATTGATGAAAACTGATGCTGAAAAGCATTTTGCAAGAAAATAACTTCATGTTCATTTTTCAGTTGTATTTTAATTCAACATCGGTTCTATTCAAACAACTCCCCAACCGCAATTTATGAACATTTATTTTGAAAATCTTATTGCAAGAAATTAACTTCGAATCCTTTTTCAGTTGTATTTTAATTCAACATCGGTTTTATTCAAACAACTTCCCAACCGCAATTTATGCAAATTGATTTTGAAAATCGTATTGCAAGAAATTAACTTCAAATCCTTTTTCAGTTGTATTTTAATTCAACATCGGTTCTATTCAAACAACTCCCCAACCGCAATTTATGAAAATTGATTTTGAAAATCATATTGCAAGAAATTAACTTCAAATCCTTTTTCAGTTGTATTTCAATTCAACATCGGATCATTTCATGCAAAACCCTAGCCGCAAACCATCAACCATCAGCCCCTGCTTTCGTTCAGTCCCGTTTTTTACGATCTAGTGATTTTTTTTGGAATTTTAGTTGGTTTTTATAGTTGATAGTACTTTTCAATTGTCGTCCAGTGTCGTCGTTGCTTCTAAAAAGCGTCGGATTTAACTGAGTTTCAGGGACGGACAGGTTGGAGACCGAATTTCGTTCACAATTCCTAAAAAAAGAACAATGATAGACGGTTGCTGTGCGAGTAGCACAAAATGTTCCTTCTAAATTCTCAAAAAAAATGTCCTTTTTTCAATTTAGCTTCTTTTCTTGCACGGCATGTGATATCAGAGTTATAAAAATGCTTAGTGGTTTACTTAGTGGTTTAGGCTTAGAAGGTTTAAAAGTTTAGTGGTTTAGGCTTAGAAGACCCTAACTGTCTTGAAAATTTAAATGATCAAAAAAAAATTTTTTTAATTAATTTTTTGTTTCATTTTTTGCACTAAAAATTTTAAATATTAAAAAAAAATTTTTTTTGCCAGAGAAATGCTAAACGAAGATTTGAAAATGTTTTTTTCGTAAAATCACGTTTTTCAGTCTAAATTGCAAATTTTTTCACAGCGAATGTTAGTCGTTCGCTTTACTCGCACGAACACTCAAAAATTTTAAACCGGTTTTCGTCGACAGTGAAGTAATTTTTTGAACTTTTTTTCAAGTATTTCGAATCACCACTGAATCGGCTTTGTTTTGATTTATCACTCAACCCAGTCCGATGATTGTTTGTGGTACCTGATTTTGTGTGGAAAACAAAAAATATATACAAAAAAAACTAAAACACACACGAATACAAAGTTCTTCCCCATTTTCAATGGTCGGAGCAACAAACATCTGCATATTCATCAAAAATTGACAGTGATCATAGAAATTGAGTCCTTTAATTTTAGGTCACTCTAAATTCTGAGGTATTTAGGGCATAGTTTAGCAGATAAGATATCAAATTTGGCACTTGATGGTTCAATAAACATTTTTTTGGATTTGCAAATTCATCTGAACACTTTTCATCCGTGCCTTATTTGAAAAATTTATCATATGTATGAAAATGATTGTTACCGATGCTGTAAGCATTCATTTCCATTTTTCTATATTTGGGATTTTAATCCGCAGTTAATTGGATGCTGTGCTTTGCAGTCCTTACCTGCGAACTGCTGTGCCTGGTCGGAATATCCGCTGGCCTCTCTCTTGGCACTGATCATGTCCAGAACATAGACATTCTGGTCGACCCAGTCCACTTTGCAACCCCCACCTACTGGAAGACTCACTCCCGTACCCGCCATCAGCACACTGTTATACGCTTGCATGTTCAGGGCGTACACGTCACGATCTTTTGAAAAAAAAACAAAGTTTAGAAATAAGTAGCAGAAAAAATTTGAAACCGACAACAATAAGCAAACTTCATGCAAAGTTTCATGCAATCTTGAGGAATCAATTTGTCTTTACAAAAATAGAGCTTGCATGCATTTTTTTTTTTGAAGTAAATCATTCCCTCTTTTTAATTACTCCTTAAAATTTTACCGATGTTTCAAACTTTGCTCACACGTGTAAATTATGTCTTGCAACATCTTGCGTTCGGAGTTTCCTTTACACATTGATTTTGCTTTTTTATATGATTGTGAAGTAATTATTACTAACCAATCATCTTCCATCAACTATCCTTTGAAAGTTTTATTAGAAAATCTGACTAGCTTACTAGCTAATGTTTAGAAGAGATTGGGGATGACTCACGCATGCATATAGCCCAATGAGGGTATGCACAATTGTAGTCGTCCATTCCGATGTCTGAGTTGGCCCGCTTGACCACATCCTTGTTGAACTTTTTCCTCGCCACACACGTCTCTTCACCCCACATTCCCAGCACTATAACAAGAATATCCGGTTGCTGTGCAAATAACAGAGAATGTTCCGACCACATTCGTAAAAAACTAAGAAAAAAAACTGGTTTCTAATTTCAACTTAGCAAAGTTACTTCTGCGCGTTGTGATTGTAGAACTATACAAACGCGCGTTGAAAGTTACTAGGACTTTTTTAAAACTCTATAATGTTTCAGACCAAATCGGATCACGAAAAATTTAGTATTCCCTCAGCGAGCTATTCAAGCTATGTAACTTTAACGAATTGAGTCAGATGGCGAAAAACTTAAATTTTCTACTTACGTCATTCAAGCAAAAAAAACTCTGGAATATTTATTAGGTTGAATCATTTTGCAAACAAATATTTGTAAGAGCAACTCAAGCTATGAAACTTTGAAATGCTTCAAGTTGTTTCAAAAATCAAACCAGTTCATTAAAAGTAATTTTTTCTTTGCAAACTATTCAAGCGATGAAACTTTTAAAACAATTCAAGTTTTTTCAAGCACAAAATCAAGTTTTCTTCAGCAAGCTGTTCAACTTGTAGAATTTTGAAATTTTTGCAAGTGTTCTCTACGAACGAACGCTTTTTTGCGAAAAGTTCAATTTTTTTTTGAACAAGATAATGAAGCTGACAAATCTTGAAATGCTTTAGGTTAGCACATGAAAGGAATCAGATTGCAGAAAATTTCGGTTTTATTTACTTCATTCAACCAATGAATATTTGAAACATTTCAAGTTATTTCATAGCGCGAGTCTGTTTGCTTAAAGTTTTTTTGAGCATGGAGGTTGCTGTTTTTGGTTGATTCGTTTCACACTAAAAAAAATCTGAAAACGCACAACTTTGGACAAAATAAGGGCAGGGGCTGTCTAGCATTGAAGTTGAACCGAGTTGTTTAAAGAGTTTCGGGCTTTTTCAAAAAGATTCTGAATATTCCAGATTCTTTATTGATTGAAAGTTCTCGCCAAAACGCCTCTCAATCATTGAGCTCGATGGTTGCATTGAAGCCTTCTTAAACATTGTACTCGATTGAAAAGTTAAAACATCTCGTTCATAGCGCAAAAAGATTTTCATTTAGTTTATAAGATTGAACAAGATTGCTCGTATCAGGGCGAAGCCCTGAATGCTCCGACTGCCTTTTAAGGTTTATTGAGCAGCAGTAATAACATTAAAAAAATTAAATGAAATAAAACAAAATGAAATTTTTTTTTTCTAAAATTTAAAACTTTTTTTGAAATCATCCCCCACACGCTATATAAAGTACAAAAGGATAGATTTCGCTCCTTGTAACAAACCAAGTATGGCAATTAAGCTTCGTTCAACCAATTTGGAACGATTTATAAGACGATTAAATATCCACTTACGCGCTATTAGCGCGAATTATATCGCGCGTTAATTGTCCCAAATTGGTCAAAATGGCCAAAATGGCAATCTTTAAACCCTCATAACTTTACGAAAAATAATCACAGGTGAAATATCTTTTCAAATTTAAGCTCAGGACAACAATACCTTTTGAATGATATTTAAAAATTCCGTCGAAAATGGCTAGTTAAAAAGTCGAAATTTGTCTGAAGAAAAAAAAACCCACCCCGAGCACAAATATTCCGTTACTTTCGTATCGAAAGTCGGAACAATAAGGCATAAAATCAGTTTTGCGACTGAAAATCCGCGCTAGAAAAGCAATTTTAAGTCAAGTACAAAGTCATATCATAATCCGATTTTGATCGAGAGAATTTTGATTATTGTTCCGACTTTCGATACGAAAGTAACGGAATATTTGTGCTCGGGGTGGGTTTTTTTTCTTCAGACAAATTTCGACTTTTTAACTAGCCATTTTTGACGGATATTTTTTATATCATTCGAAAAGTATTGTTGTCCTGAGCTCAAATTTGAAAAGATATTTCACCTGTGATCATTTTTCGTAAAGTTACGGGGGTTTAAAGATTGCAATTTTGGCCAATTTGGGACAATTAACGCGCGATATTTCGCGCTATTAACGCGTAAGCGGAGAGTTAATCCGTCTTAGAAATCGTTCCAAATTGGTTAAAAGAAGCTTATTTGCCATAATTGGTTTGTTACAAGGAGCGAAATCTATCCTTTTGTACTTTATATGGCGTGTGGGGGGATGATTTTCATAAACAATTTCAAATTTTAGAAAAAAAATTTCATTTTTTTTATTTCATTGAATTTTTTAATGTTATTACTGCTCCATAAACCTTAAAAGCCAGTCGGAACATTCAGGGCTTCGCCCTGTTACGAGCAGTCTTGTTGTCACTTTACCGCTGATCGATATTGACACGGGAGTGACTCTTTTTAACGGTATGCGACAACTCATCGCAAAAGATCAAAGAAGGACTCGCAACAATAAAAAATGCATTTAGCAAAGATCAAGAAAATGTAAAACTCACAAGGTTTAAACGTTCAAGTCAGATCGAGGAATTGGACAGTAGCGATCATTTGATCCACTATTTTTACATGCAAGCCGCGGAATGGTAAAATGAGTCAGCGTTTTCCATTATCTAAATGTGTTCTATATGTCATTAAAAATAAATTACTAATTTTTTTTCAATTTTAAAGTTTTTATTTTTTTATTTTCTTCAAGAATTAACATCACTTTAATGATCTAATAAGCAATGTTTACAAGGTTGAGTGCAGCCAAATAAACTTGGAGTTGGGTAATTTGTTCACATGCTACTTTTTAAAAACAATCTGAAAAAGTTTGAAAAAATTTATACTCGTAATATTTAACGTATCAGGTAAGGGGGATCGGAAAAAGAGGCTGCAGAACTGGTTGAACTTTCCTGTTTTTTTTTTCTCCGGGGAGTTCTTTATGATACAAGAATCGAATGAGAAAAAATTAAAAATGCTTGATATCCCTTCAAAAAATAACAAAATAGCGCCTACTTAGGTTGTCCGGCTGCCCCCTGGAAAAGAAGCCAGAGTCCAGTGTTTCTCCAGAGTAGATGTTGACGAAGGGGTTGGTGGAGTCGCCGTACTGTCTGGCATACCCAGTCCAGAAACCGAGCCCAGCTAGATGGGCTGGATCTTTAGTGATAGCTGATTCATAGTGGGACCACATATGGTTGCGAAGGGTTTGCTGAAACACGTGTAGTAGCAGCGTTTAACAAAAAATTAAAAACTAATCTAAAATTTTTTGATTTTGTTTTTTATTGTCTGTCATTTGCTGAGGTAAGAAGAAAAAATCGATGGATAATCATAGGAAAAAGCCTTATGTTAAAAATTTAAAACATTTCTTGGGTTATTATGCCGCTGGATTGGGAGCAAGTTGTTTTTTCAAAAATTTTTAAACAAAGAAATGACACAAAAATGATTAAATCGACGTCAATTTTGATCGAAAACTATTTTATATTAAAATCGACAGCATTTATGATAAAAAATCACAGCACATGCCAGCAGTATCGTGCCAAGGGGAGGGGGGCAGCCACCTCGCCCACCTCCCCCCTCATTTTTCGTTGCTAAACTTTTCCAAAATATCCCCCTTTGGTATAATTTTATGACATCCATTTTTCATTTTTGGCTGAGCAACAGTATAAATTTTCTAAAGGCGCCTTTGACGCCAATGTAACTAAATTTGAGGAGGGAGCGCACGCTAAGAAACGCAAACTTTCGGACAAACTCTCCCAAAAATGCCCAAAAACAGCTTTTTTGGCCTGTTTGGATATCCAATTGGTCGAAGTAGAAAGCAGCAAAAATTTCAGATTTTTTTTAGAAATTGAAAAATTAGAGATTTTATTTTCGCCCCCTTCCCTAAAAAAATTCTGCCAGTGCATGACATTGTGAAGAAGTAACAAATTTGAGCCCTATTTACCATAAAAATCGCTGCAATATGATTTCTTAGCCTGCTTCAACTCGCAATTTTACGAAGGTCATAATTATATTTTCGAAAGTCATAAGAAAAAATAGTCACAAAAATCCAAAAACCTATATGGGTTTTATGTAATTGCCCAGCATGTGTGACCTACCTGGTCTCCGACTGCGTCGAAAGTGACGAGAGTGGCCCCTCCTTCGTATCCACAGGCCACGACGGCCTTGTCATGGCTCACGGGTCCCAGAGCCAACAACAGTTTGTAGCAGTGTGACAGTCCTAAAACAACACCTCAATATAGCAGACCATATTTTTCACAAGCTGAACAGAAAATTAGTTCCTAACAGAAAAATAAAGCAGTGGTGGGCCGACAAGCCGAAAGTTAATATGCAACATAAAAACAAATTGTCAATATTTTTATGCAGTTACGTAAATATTTTTATTACGTAATTATGACGTAGGTTTCGTTATTCTGATGTAATTTCGCTTCAACATAAGGTTAATCAGGTTATTTAAAAAAATTTATAATAATGAAAAGTGTTACCTGCTACACGCTCGAAGCCATGAGGACATTCTGCAAAAGACAAATTTTTGATTAGGCAAGGAAATTAAAGAGGTCGAAAATTTATTCAACTTTCTGTAGTTTTATTTTTTCTACCTTCGACACATGAGGGTGTTGCTACTTGGCCAGCCCTAAAAATGTATGATTTAGAAAAAATAAAGTCATTTCCAAACGATTTTTGATTTTCCTCGAAACATTCTGCTAGTTTTTTCGTCAATTTCTCGACGCTTTTATCATGTTAGTTATAATTTTATCATGTTAGTTTCATATTTATGGCAATTACTTTTGGTTTTTCTCAATTGGTTTATCAAGTAATTGTCAAGTTTATAATCTTTTAGAAACTCACCGAACATAAATTTGAAGGAATGCAAAAATTATCAATTTGGAAAAAGTTGACTTCATTCTGGACAACAAATCTCGATAATGATTCCAGTGAATAAATAATCCGAAGTTGAAATTCTGGAAACAAAAAGCGTGCCAGATTTCACTCGACCATCATCATCTGTTACATGACTTAACTAGCCAGCGAAAACTTGTTTAATTCATAATGATTTGACAGGCAGTGTTGAAGAAGAACCATTTCAAACTTCATTGAAGAAAAATTTCAAAGAACAGATAATAAATCCTCCTAAGATAATAAAAGCTCTTAAGGCTTTTTATAAGCGAATAGGTTTGATGAATTGAAACCAAATTTCCAATTCAAACACTTTTTTCTGCAGTTTTAAAACAGATTGTAAATTAAACAAAACTTGGCCTAGCAATTTTGGAATCAAGAAAAATTTCATTCATTATTTTACCAATTCCATTGTACGTTTGTTTTCTAATGGCCAAAATATGTGCATCCAAAAGAGGCAGCAGAGAATTGGGGAGGAGACTCTCCCTCCTTGAGGAATTTGGTCCCCTGGCTATCCAAAAGGTCCCCATTCTGGTACTGTTTCAAGACATCCATTTTTGCTGACCGACCCTGAATTTTTTCCAATGGCATCAAAATACATTCATTTTAAGGAGAGAGTGCAGGCAAAAAAAGGTTTTTTTTTGGTCCCAACCTTCAAAAAAGTGCCTACAAACGTCTTAATTGCTTGTTTTTTTTCTTCAAAATTGCCAGAACATTGTTCAAAATAGAAATAGGGTTTTTTTCTGATTTAGAAGAGCTCGAAAGAAAATTTGATTAACCTACAAAAGCAGATGAGAGAATTTAAGGTGGATCTCAGAGATTCGGACCACTGGCTACCCCGTTTCCCAAACAATACTATTTTACGAAGTGTAAAAGAGGTGCTCCGGTGACAAGATGAGGTAATTTTGAGGACAACATTTTCCAAAAAGAGCCCAAAAACGACAATTTTGACGTTTTTTTCTAACAATTCGCTTGCTCAAAATACGGTTTTTATAGTGTTCTGAGAGCGCTCGGAAGATCAATTTGGTCGACCTAGAAAATTCTAGAAAATTTTTGAAAAGTTTTTGAAAATTTTGACCCTTTTGAGAAAACCCTAGATCCACCCCTGAAAATAGGCGCCTTAAAGGCACTTGAAAAAAACTTTTGAAATTATAAAAAATTGTTTGAAAGTCTGTTGAAAATCTGTTGAAAATCTAAATCTCTGATATATGAACTGACTCACAAAGTTTCATAACCTCATAATTCCCTCATGAAAAAATCAATTCTAGTTGATAGCCGGTAGACAAACTTTGTATGTTCTAACACGTTTTTTTACTATATGAAAGAACCAAAATCGGTAGCGGTACAAACTATGCTCATATTTTTGTTACTATCCTTCAAACATTACGGTTTTTCTTGACACTAACTTTTTGCTCAGTGTTAATTTTATATTAATAGTAAAAATATCATCTATTTAAACAGAAAACTGTCTGTCTTCTAATGTTCAGGATTTAGATTTTTTACAAAGAACCTCAACAAACCTTTTGCACTGGTTTTATGAAAAAACTGAATAATTTGAAACAAAATTTATAACTTTGGGAAGCTTCAACTATCCAAAGAAACTTCTTAAAAATCCCAATTACATTTGTTTTAAATTCTGCTTAAAATGCTTATTGTTTTCAAATAAAACATTAAAGACAAAACTCCAACTTTTGGAAGCATTGAGGACTTTTATGAACAAAATATTCTAGACTTTTAAGCTACATCGTTACATTAAAATTCAAACTAAAACACAGAATTTTCTATTTTTTATTTCAAACGGTAAACTTAAATGATAATTTATTGGTCATAATTGTAATTAAAAACGCATGGATTTAAGTCTATAAAAATTTATTTACAAAACTATTTTTTTCAAAGTTAAAATTAAATTTTTTCAGAGCACAAATCTACAAAAAGAAAGTCTTAGGTTTTCGATTTCTTTTAAAATAGTTCACGACTAATCATTGCATAGTTTTTGAAAAGTCATGCGTACCAAAAGTTTTTTGAAGTTCGAAAATGAAAAAAAATATATCAAGATTCACTCACAAATGGTTACAACCAATGATTGCAAAATTGTTTACAAAAAGTCGCTTATACCAGGATGCTGCTAGACATTGTAAGCAAAAATAATAAAATATCAACTTATCATCAATAGCTGAAAAAAACTGAAATTTTAATTAAAATTCAAATTTGGAAAAAACCCATTTACGAAGCAAAATTGCGCATTGGGTAGGCCCACTTTTTGTTGTGTGCAGGTCACTGGAACCCAGAGGCAAACTTTTAGCTTGCTAAATTTTAACAACTTGCCGGCGTAATCAAAGAAACCCATGGGTAGATAAAAATGAAAGAGAGCGGCTCTGTAGCGGAAGTCGCTCAGACTTCACAAAAAAAGAAACTGTTAATGTTAAATAAAAACCTTCAAATTTTGATATTTTGAGTTAAAAAATTTAGCTAGGATGTCAATATAAAAAATGAAACAAGTTAAACGCAAGCGTCAAGTATGTTCATCACTAGATTGGATTTTTTTCTTTACAACTGTCACACTACTTTTCTACCCATACAAATAGGAACCTCTTAGAAGTGATTAAAATCAAACAAATTGGGACCGGAGGTTTTCCATCACTTTTAATGTTTTAAGATTGGAATATCTGTTCCTTCCATCAATGTGAAGGTTATGCTTATAAGGAGAAAATTTATGCAATTTTCTCTTGTGATAAGCAAGAGTATTGCAATCGGGTGCTAGACTTTTTTCCCGAAAATAAGTTTGTTAACAGGACTCATCAACTCCTGGTAATACCTTGATTTATAATGAAATAAAATGCCTTTTTTCCTTCTGCACACTTAGCCCGGAGGCAACAAATACGCCAGGTAAATCCTTGGGTTCAAATCTGACCAGGACCTGTTTTTTGTTTTCAAACGGTAAATATTCCGGTTCAAAAAAAAAGTTTCGATCTATTATTTGATCGCTTATGTTTTGTCGACTTAGTTGCCAGATCCAAATTTTTTTATTTTACTGTAAATAACTTTCGCAATAGTTAATATAATTTCTCTAGCATTTAAAGTCCTGGCCGAATCAAACGTTTTACCTTGGTTGTAGTTTTACCAACTCAATTTGTTAAAATTTTGTTGTTTTTTTTCTTCAACTTTTAAACTTTTTTTTCGGCTCAACTGATTCTGACTTTGTTATATTTTAGTGGCCTTCTATTGCGTCCATTATTGACTAAAAATATATTTTTTTTATGCGTGAGTGCTCCGAGGGAGAAGAAAAGTTTTTAAAATAAAGTTATTAAAAAACTTTTTTCGGTTTGAAAGGTTATTGTTGAGATAATTTCTTTTTTAATACCGCTTGATAAGAGTTGTTGCGATGCAACTTTTGCATTCTATTGTCTGGGAATGTTTTTTTTTCTTCAAAATTATCTTCATGTTGATAAACCTAGTTATATGTAAAACGATTAAACATTGAAATTGCGCTTTTATCATCGATATTACGATATTATGATTTTCGGCTTTCAATTAAGCTGTCTATATAATTTTTGAATTGTGTATTCAACCTTGATTTCAGTACATATATGGCTTTTGAGGATATGATTTCTACAGTACTTGTAATCCCTATAAATTTCCGATAACATTTAGAGATTGGTAAGACTCTAGCTCTAAATTTAAATTCTACCCCACTTAAAATTCTTCAAAAAGGTTAAATATTTAAATTTTATAAAACTGGATTTTCTATTTTTTGTTTTTCTAGTTGTTTCCTCGACAACGATCGAAGTATTTTCTACACAGTCGATTGGCAAGCGTTATCAAACTGAAGTATAGTATTTTTTCGGCTTAACAAGTAATATAACTAGTATGAAAACACAAAACAACAGCGCACAAACAAACAACGACTACAACCTGTCAATCACACACATGGGAAATGTGAAGACGACGGAGATAAAATTGAATATGAACTTACGCGTAAGAACAAAAGAGACAAAAGCAAATATGGAACTGATTTCTAATGAACTAGAGATACGCATGTCCAAAACATACACATACATGGCACAAGTGCAACAACTGGTCTTTGCAATCGACAACGAAACCCCATTAACGATTATTGTCAACACGGTAACTAACGCAGAACACCACTCGTCACTATGTCGTAAGAAATTGCAACGAGTCCTGGGTATTGCTTCATTAACAAGGCCCGCGCAAAAAATAAGGCAAAATCAGACCGCTGATACAATTCGTTAGAAAACAAGGAATGGATGCCATCAAAAAGTCAAACCATTTTCTGGATAGCATCCATCTACAACAACGGGGACCTTGCAGACGACATATGAATTCCCCAAATCCACCGCTCAATCGCAGCAACCTGGCAGATCTGCAAGGAGTGCAAGTAGCATGGTAAAAACCTCGAGCCTATAATGGTCAAAAATCTTAACTTCAAAATGGATAAAGTCGTAGAACCAATTGAGGGACCACATTTAGATTTTGCGAGTTCATTCACGATTAATTAAACAATGACGCATATACTTTGGTAGCGGTGGATGGATTTTATAAATATCCGCCAACAAAAGTAGTAACGAATAAAACAGCTCAGACGACAATCAAGTTCATGCCAGAGTACACAATAAACGGGATTCCAAGGAGAGCTAGTTGCAAGTAGGCACAAAACTTTAAAGCGAAAAACAAAAACTTCAAATCTATTGCAAAGAAAACCATAAAGTTGCAATTTGCACCAGTAAAAGACCATAGTGAGTTAGGTTTGAGGCTGAACTCATTGAGTAATTTCGGATAGGGTACACCGTCTGCTCGTCACGCTATCTTATTTTCGGCCGAATAGATTCGTGCAACTTCTTAGTCTAATACCAATCCTAATCTTACTCTTATATCTACTAGTCTCAGGGTGTTTAACTAGTCTCTGCTAGGCTCAAAAGATCTAGAGTATACTGGCTTATTGCGATTGCTAAAGTTCTCTTGGAGAGGTAACTAATTTCTAAGTTAAACTCAAATCTCTCTGGTGCTGAAATTACTTGTAAT